AAAGTTTTAGAATTTCATGAAGTTGATGAGAGTGATGTTGGAGAAATCCTGAGGTCTAGCACATTGGCTGACAAATCGAGGCTCTGTCTGGCTGGGTTGGCCCCGTCTAAAGAGTGAAAAATGATGACATAGTGCTTCAGAAGAAAGTCATTTGAATGTCATAGCACTCAGTGGTATGAAGGACACAGGGGTACATGCATGATGAAGTCTTTGAGTAGTTACTGCTGGGAAGGGCCTAGTAAAGACCATCAGGCAATTTTGTGGGGAAAAACATGCCTCCTCAAATTAACTTTTTTGCATTCTAAGTATTAGCATATTAATCTAAGAATTAGCATATTATCCTAAATTTTGTTGCATGGCACATAAAATATAGGTATTTTCATAGCTTTACTTAAAAAAAAAAGACAATTCCAATTAAACATTTTTTTTCTCCAATTACTAAGAAATGTGGATTCCCAGTTGCAAGAGTATTTGTGGTCAAAGTGGCCTTTTTCTTGGGATAATGAGGCCTCCAGAATGGGTCCAATATCTGTCTGGCTCACCAGACCCAGGGGTGCTGTGTGGATAGGGTACTGTGTGCTTTTATTCCTAAGATGGAGTCTAGAACAGGGCTTGGCTCAATGAATGTGTAGTGAATGAACAAATGAGTGAATGAGTGAATGGAGGATCCTAGTGATGCCTGGCTGGTCCTAAGCCAGCTGGTCTGGGACCCCTTAAGGGACACTCCTGGCACTAAACAGAAGCCCCCTGACCCTACGGTGCTCAAACTTGCCTGGAGCTAAGCAGGGCTGCCTGTCACCTTCTCTCTGCTGGAAATCAGAGGACTTGCAGGAAGCCCAGGGGCTTCTCACTGCTCTGCCCTGCCCATCACTGACCCCCACTCTGAAATGGGCTGCCCCTACCCCTTTTCCTTGGCCTGCCTTTCTGCAGCAGGGCTCTGAACACCCGCCAAGACCTTTGCAAGAAATGGCTTGTTCACATTCACCTGGGTAGGGGCCCAATTCACAGAAGCCTGGAGTGGGAGAGCAGTCGCAGCCATACAGACCTCTGCAGCACTGGAGGGTTTTAATTCCTTGTAACAAGCCTGCAAGGTGGGCAACCTCCACTCCCTCTGTAGAAATGAGAAACTAAGAGTGGGCATGGAGCTTCCCAAGGCCACGCCGTTGGCATGGGGCAGAACTAGGAAGAGTGGTCCCCTCTGGTTTTCCGTCTCGCTCCTCTGGGTACTGACTAAGCGTGCCCTCCCTTCTCTGAGCCCCTAATTTTCTCCTCTGCAAATAGATAAGAGTCTCTACCTCACAGATCCAAATGCACAGAATCTGGCACATAGTAAGTGTTCAATAAATGCTGGCTGTGTACTCGCTAATGAGAGACCTGCTGCACACCCCACACTCTGCTGGGACTCAGAAGATGCACTGTGCAAGAACCTCAGGATCTTTCATTCTCAAGGAGGCAGGACTGTAGCCTGGGTGAGCTCAGGCTGAGCTCTCAGAGGAGTATTTGGACACACCTGAATCCTGCTCTGCACTTCCCTGCTCCAGGTACTTCATCTCCTGAGCCTTAGTTTCCTGGCATGAGTAAGGGGGTTATTGAAATGGGGATGTCTGCCTAATGAGGTGGACGGCTTGGTGAAATGCTCCCTTGTATTGTATAGAGTGAGCCAATGATTCGTCTGTTTCCTAAGGGCACAGGACTCTATCTTGGGATAGATCCCTCCCCTTTCCCACTCTTTCTCCCTAGGCAGGAGTCATTGTATCCTTTTGGCCTTTGAGAAAATCAAGGGGGAGCTCAAGGCTCAAGGCCACACAGATGCAGAACTGGGTCTTAAGACTCCTGGGGAGGAGGAAGACTATCCGAGATTCAAATGCCTTTGATGGTCAGTTGAGTGATTTAAATGTGGGTATAGAACAATAGGTAGTGGTAGAGCTCCATGAATTTAGATTCCTTAAAGGTATTTCTACTCCAAAAGTTTCAAACACTTTGTTCTTTTAAACCCAGCAGACTGGATTCCACCTCCAAGCTGCACGTTTGAGACCTGTGTCTACTGGGCATCTGTGTCACACAGTGGGCCCACTCCTTCTTCGTCCTCTTCCCTGCATCTGGGTAAGGGTGACAAGCAGGTTCTCACCAGTATCTCCTGGATGCTGGCTCTGCTGGCAGTGACCCCTGATCAGTTCCTGATTCTCACCTGAGAAACTCCATGCCCTCCCAGCCAGCACCACTCAGAGCAGTCTCGGGATGGTGAAGCCCACAGACAGGTGGCCCTTACTCATAAGCCTGCCTGCTTTAATCAGGAGAAAATCACTATTCAGATTTCAGCTCACAGGCCACTTCCTCCAGGAAGCCTTCTCTGAATTCCTTGGCAGAACCAGGCCATTATACTTCATGCCTGTGCTTCACAGCTTGTTTTTCATAGGTAACTTTACATAGCAACCCAGAGTCTAACCTAATGTCTGACCCACAGTGGGCACTCAATAAATATGCATGGAATAGGTGAATAAATTCACCTGCTGTGTGACTTTGGACAGTGACTTCACCTCCCTAGACCTGGATTCTCTTGTCTGTAAAATGAGTTGTGATGAAGGAGCATTCAGAGAATGCATGAAGTATGAGGCTTAATAATGGCTCACAAAGCTATCCAGGTCCCACTCCCTGGAACCTGTGAATATTCCCGTCTATGGCAAAAGGAGCGGGAAATCCTTGCAGATGCCATTAAGGGTCTTGCGATGGGGAGATTATCCTGGATTATCCAGGTGGCCCCAATGTAACCACAAGGGTCCTTATGAAAAGAGGCAAGATGCTCAAAGGAGACGTGACAACAAAATCAATTATTTTCTTGTCTTTTCTAGCTTCTGGAAGTCAACAAGGGATCACAAGCCACAAAATGCAAGTGGCCTCCAGAAGCAAGAAAAGGCCAGGAATAGATTCTTCCCCTAGAACCTCCAGAAGGAGCCAGCCCTGCCAACACCTTGATCTTAGCCCAGGTGAGACTGATTTCGGACTTCTGACCTCCAGACTGTAAAGAATTCATTTGTGTTGTTTTAAGCCACTAGATTTGTAGTCAATTATTACAGCAGCCCTAGGAAACTACTACATGAAAAACATCTGATGCACAGTAGGTGCTCAGAAATGGCAGTCACCAGTATTTGGATCTTACATGGTCTCCTTCCCCTACGGGGGCCTCCTCTTCTTGCCACCCACTGGTGTTCCTGGTGCTGGGCCTCCTCCTAGGTTCTCCCCCAGGAGCAGGTTAGGGCAGGTAGGGCAGGAGACAGGACCATGCTAGGAGCTAGGCATCAAAGCTCCCCGGTGACTTGGGGATTAGTGAGTTCCTGTATCAAACCTCAGTTTCAACCTGGATGGGTGAAAGGAACCACTCCCACACACCCAGAATTTAACCTAAAATGCTAACAGCATTCATTGCATGCCAGCCTCTGGGCTAAATGCTTCATACACCCTACCTCATTTAATCTTCTCAGTAACCCTAGGAAATAGGAATTACTACTTTCCCATTTTACAGATGAGGAAACCGAGACTCTGCAAGATATGTGGTTTGCCCAAAGCCACCCAGCTTGGCACAAAGGAGCCAGATTTAGAAACCAAGTCTATCTCTGCTTCAAGCTAGATTAAAACAACACAGTTCACATCTCGATCTATCTTCTGTCTGCTCATATTGTTCACCCTGGAAGACGGGTGGCTGTGCTTGGTGGGAAGGGCTTGCGTGCAAGTCTCGACTCTGTCCCTTTAGCCTGAAAACCAAGATAGGTTACTTCACCACTCTACACCTCATGAGCAAAATGTGATGAGCCTGCTTAAGAGGAGCTACAGGATCAAATAAAACAATGTATAGAAAGGGTTACAATCATCTGGTACCTACCAAGATATAAGGGCACTTTACCTACCAACCCTGCTGCCTTATTTTACAGATGAGGAGACTGAGGTTTGATACAGGAACTCCTGAGTCTGAAGCTCTGATGCCCTGACCACCCTTCCCCTCCACAGGACCAACAGACCCAGAGGCTAGGTGAGGGTGGGAGGCTTCCTGAGCAGGTGGCTGCAGGCTTTTTGCCTGAGCTGTGGTGAGTCGAAGCCTTGGAGTGGCAGTTGTCAGGGACTCTGTAAGTTAATAGTTCCATTCATTCACTCATTCATTCAACACTTCTCAGCTTAAAATCTGCCAATAGTTTCCTTCCCATAGCAGCACTAGAACTGCATCCAAATTCCTCCCCAGGCTCTCTCTGTAGCCCTGAAGACCCTGGTATCCATTATATTATGGCTTTGCCTTCAGCATACCCACTACTTGTCCCCTTGCTCATTGCGCAGTGAGCTCTTTCCTGCCTCAGGTCCTTTGCACTTGCTCTTCCCTCTACCAGGGATGCTCTACTTTCCTGAGGTTCCTTCCTGCTATTCAGTTCTCTGCTCTGGTAGGCCTCCTACTCACACTCCCAACTAAGTAGCTGCTATCCTCTCACTTCACTATCTTATTCCTAGCACTTATCACTCCTTGCAATTATCTTCTTTTCATATGTAAGCATTTGTTTGCTGTCTGTCTCTTGCCCTGGTCGGACAACAAAGCAGGGACCACTTATTTCTATTGATTCCCCAGCTCTCAGCAAGGTGCCAGGTGCCCAGTAAGTGAAGACATTTATGTCTGGCCTATTGAGTTTAGAAGTCGAAATGTTTCAAGAGAAGGTCACAGTGAGGACTAATGATGGGGTGAGGGTGGAAGCCCGGCCTAGCTACCAGACCAGAGACTGGAAGCATCTGAGAGCAGGATGCCGATCCAAATCCTCTGACCGAGGTATCAGCCGTGACGACACCCCAGCCCTCGTCCCGCGGCATTTCCAAGCTCAAGGCGGAGAGTGAGAGTCCTTGAGGGCTCCACCAGGACCCCACAGCCAAGCCTCCCTCCCGCAAGGCTCGCGGTCGGGCGCGGGGGACGCTCAGGGGGGGCGCGCGGACCGCCAGGGGGTGCTGTCGGGGCGCTCACGGCCCACCTGGCGCCCGGGGCCGCGAGCTAGCGCAGCCAGGCCGCCCGGGAACTTTTTTCCTCCCGCTCTCGCTCTCATTCTCCCCCCGCGCGTCGCCCGCCCGCTCGCTCTTCCTGTGCCGAAGGGATCGCGTTTACCCGCGGACACCAGGCAGACCCGGCCGGGTGAGCGGCCAGGACACAGTCCCAGCGCCGCCGACTCTCCGCGCCCCGGGGCGCCGCCCCCGCCCGCGGCTGGGCTGGGTGAAGCGAGTTGGAGAGCGAGGCGGCGGCGAGGTCTAGAGGCGAGCGGAGCAGGCCGCCCTGCGGGCAGCCTGAGCGCCGGCGCGAGGAGGGGACTGCCGCGGCCCACCCTCCTTCCTGCCTGGCCGTGGGCCAGTCGGGCCGCGGCGCCCTGACCCCCAATGGCCTACCGGGCCTCCGGGCCGCTAAGTCACAGCGCCAGACACAGAGCTCCCGAGTGAGCGCCGAGGTGAGCAGCGAGTGCCAGGGCGCGGGGTATGGGGGGGAAGGGGACGCGAGGTGTCGGGATCCGAGGTCGGGTGAGGAATGGGGGCGCATTTGGGGGCGAGCAAGCGTTGGGCCGGCAAGTAGGGGTCCGCGGGGCCATTGCTTTGTGTGGCGTAGGGGGTGCGCGAGGTCATCAGATGACCGTCTGGGGAGCTGCAGGGTGGGGGCGCCGTGCGCCACGGAAGAGGGTCTTTAGGAACATTTGTGAGGCTGGCTGGGTCGGTTCGTGGCGTGGGGGCGCCAGGAGCGCTGGTCGAGCGTGGCCGGGGGCTCTGCGCCAGCTGGAGCGCGGAGTGTTTGCCGTGCGTGGGGTGGGGACGTGGTGGGCATTCGCCTGGCGCTGAGAGCAGAGCTTTGTGAGTGCGTCGGTGCGTGGGGGGCGGGGAGCCGATGTCTCCATGTGGGACTTGGGGTCTAGCGTGGGCCATGGCGTGAGAGCCAGGGCCGCGAGGGGCCGGGAGGGCCTGTGTGGGGAGATGGGGTGCGAGGGGCTCAACAAGGCACCCCGCGCGGGCAGCGGCTCCCGGGCCTGTGTGCAGGCCCCGTGACCCGGCAGGAAGCGGCCCCAGAGGCCCGGAGAGCTCCGACGCAGGCCCCAGGGCTCGCGGGCCTTTCAGAGGGTGACATTACGGTCGGGGGCGTCGGACACGCGACCTTCGTGTCCCCCGGACAGTGACGCGCCGGCCAGTTCATGGACCCCTCGCCTTGGAGGCAGGGGACCCGGGAGACGGACTTGGGGGCCGAGCGCCAGGCGTCGTCGTTGAGTGCGGTGGGGTCGAGGGAGTGGCAGGACATGGTAGTGACATTTGGAGCCTTGGTCGCGACGAGGGGCGGAGGGGAAGCGAAACATCAGCTAGGCCTAAGGCCGCTGAGGCCCCAGCTTCCTGGGGCGCCAGTTTTCTCAGTGAGGGGTTTCCTTCTTGGGGCTGTTGGTCCTCAAATCCACGCCAGGGGCGGGAGCGGTACGCTCCTCTTGGGAGCCCCGGGTAGAGGGAGCGCTGGTCTTTCGACTCTGAATCGATAAACCAGTGTAACAATGCGCTATTGGGGGGTGGGATAGGGGGGATGCTGGGGGAGGGGAGGCAGCGCTCCTGAATGGCGGACCCGAGCTCAGAGCTTCTCGGCTCGCAACACTCCCTCCCGTAGCGCCTGCCCGGTGGTTTCGGCAGGCTCTGATTCAAGGACCCACGCGGGACCGCACGCTTCCCTCCCACCCAAAGTGTTCCTCTCCACCCCCCCCCCCCCCGCGCCTTATTTGTCTTCCAACGCACAGTGTGTTGAGGATTCAAGGGCATTACATCTGGTTGCAATCCAGTTTCATGCCACTGCTGGGCTGTTAAGACCTTGCGCTGACGTCAGACCAGGGAAACTACTTTTTATTTTATCTTTTTTTAGTAGTCTGCTGCCCTGGGAGGGGGGAAGGGGTGGCGGGTGGGTTAGGGGCGCTCTGATGTGGAGGCGCCAGTGCCAGGGGAGCCCCAGGCTGGGGGCTGTGCTTCTCTCCTTCTAATCCATCCTGCATATGGACCTGGCTCTGCCTGGGGTCAGGCTCACCCTAGGTAGGTGCATCCCTCGGTGCAGACTGAGTGGAGGCCTCTCCCAACCGACCACACAGCTGCGTTTCCATAGGCTTCCCTAGACATGGCCCTCTCCATCTGGAAGCTGGAAAGAAATCTAGTTCCCCACCCCTCCCCCTTGACAACAAAGGGGTGTATGAGTCCCAGGAGGAAATCTTTAGGAGCAAGTAGAAGTGGCCTTTGGGGTGACACAGAGGAGTAGACAGAGACATTTGGTTCTGGGGGAGGCTCAACCCAAAAATTCTGGCAAAGGCCTTGGAAAGAAGGAAAATGTATCAAGGGGTGACCCAGGCCCCAGAAACCAACTGTGGAGTGGGCTACATAAGACTTTTCTCAACAGCCAGCCCCCCCCCCCTCTCTGGCTTCCTAAACAGAGGGAGCTCAACTCTCTCCAAAGCCCTCTTTCTCTCTTACTGGACCAAGACGGCCTCACAGGCAGGGCCCTTGTCTTATTCCTCTGTTAAAGGTCCAAGTCTGGACCAATGGTTTTCAAACTCTTGGTGGTGACCTGTAGTAAGAAATGCATTGTAGGTCACAATGCCATTCACTCCCACTGTATGTAACTGAAATAAAAGTTTAATGAACTAACTCTTCTACTTTGTCAGTTGATCTGATATTTTTCTGTTCTAGTCTATTTGATTTTTTTTAAAATTGCTGGTTACAACTCACGAAATTGACTTCATAATTCACTAATGGGTCATATCCAGAGTTTGAAAAAACAGGCCTAGAAAATGAATCTGGCTTCCATTCATTCAACAAACACTAAGAGGCCCTAGAAAATTTTCTTTTTTTAATTACTCATGTAACACATGGATTTTTCTCATTGTGAAAAAATGCAAAAACTCCAGAAGTATATAGAGTTAAAAGTCCCCTTTGCACTCCCCACCCTCTTCACAGGTAACCTCAGTTAACAGTTCGAGCATGTCCTTCCAGGTATTTTGCTGCCCACTTACATATGCATCTATCATACAAATACTTAGTTTTCTTTTTCCCAAAATGAGAACATACCTCGGGCTCAGGCTCTTATTCTTCAACTTCCTTTTCCATTTGTCCCTGTGAGGTCATAGGATGAGGCGCTTCAGGACAAGGCTTTGGGTTGACTTCTGGTTCCACCACGTACTCAATGAGTTATTTACCTCTCGTACCTCAGTGTCCCAATCTGTACAATGGGGATAATAACTGTCCCAGCCTCACAGGACTGTAGTGAAGATTTAATGAGTTAATCCATATAAACATATATGGAACCCTACATGTCCCTAGAAATGCCAGTTGCCACCACCGTCATTATTATTACTGTTCTGTTTCCATGGCAGCCCATGTATGCCCCATGTTGCTTTTTTTTTTTAACAAAGGACAGAGATTTCTTCTTTTTCTTTTTTTTTTTTAAGATTTTTATTGGGGAATTGGGGGAAGGGGAACAGACAAGTTGCTGTCCTTTTGTTCCTCAGTCTAGTTGTGGAGGACGTTGCTTCACTGGCCCAAGTTGGCACCATCATTGTGCTCCTCCCAGGTGAGACAGATCAGTCGCCGGCTTCTGGACGGCCGCTCACGCTGGCTGCTGGCCGCTCACGCTGGCTGCTGGCTACACACGGTAGCCCACGGTAGCCCATGGCAACCCACTGCAGCAGGGGCTGCAGCCTACGTCATTGCCAGCTACTCACAGCAGCCCAGCTCCTGGTTGAACTGCAGCATCTAAGCTGTAGAGGGCAGTGTCACTGGCCCTCATATGTGGGATCCGAACCAGGGCCCTCTGGCGTCCCAAGCCAGCTCTTAACCAACGCGCCACTCGGCCGGCCTGCACCTCGTTGCTTTTAATAGCTGCCTGTGGCTGTGGCATGGATATTTCTCTGCCCCTCTGATGTGTGGCTCTGCAGGGAGGGAGTAGGTGGAGGCGTGTGCACAGCAGTGTGTGATGGGCAGCTTCCGTGGGAGAGGCCCAAGGACTTGCGGGTCCCAAGGGAGCAAATATTTTCCAGGGACCCACTGTGCTTAATGCAGCTGCCTCCAAGAGATCACAGCCCAGTAGGTAAGACCCAGATAATACCCGAGGGGACCAGCTTTGTCATGGGAGCTTGTGCCAGGGCACAGGCCGGAAACAGGTCCCCCTGTGAAAGCACCGGTCAGGTGTTATTGGGATGATGAGGGAAAGCGTAGGGCAGCATCTTTGGTTAAGACTTGCCCAAGGGAAGAAGAGCAGAGGGAGATGGTGTATGGTTCAGTTCCGAGATGGGTGGGACACACAACCTGAGCTTTAGGATTCAGGGGCAAGTGTGCCCAGTCTTGGCCAGAGTTGGGGCTTTGTGGAGGTGGGGGCTTCATGGAAGAGGGGGCTTGGAGCAGGTGCTTTAAGCACAGGTAGGCAAGAATGAGAGGGGCATTCCTGGCAGAGGGAACATACCAGCATGTCTTTGGAGGCTGAAATGGACGTGGCCTGTCTACCATGGCCTAGAAGGGTGGCATTGGCCCAGAAGGAATGGTAGCAGAAGAGGCTGAGCTGTTGCTGGGGCCTCCTCGCCTCCATCCTGTCCCCTCCCAGCGTGGGCCGCGCCAACAGACCGATCTTTCTCAACCACAGCAGATACTTCCAAGGGCTCAGGCTGTCTTCTGGATAAAGGTGCAGCCTTGTAGTCCTTCCCATGCTGCAGGGGCCCTTTCTGGCGTCTTGCACATGCTCTGCCCCCATTCAATCCCCTTCCCCTCCTGCCATAGCACAGCCCTCCTTCCCAGGGTCAGCCACATATATCCCTGTGTCTGTGTTTGCTTGTCCTGTTCCTTCCTCCTAGGATGCCCTTCACCTTCCTCCCTGTCTCCCAAGACCAAAACAGACATCCTGTCTCCCCCTGCTCTGATGCCAAGGCAGAATGAGTCATCTCCCTTTGTCTATACCCTTGGCATAGTGTTTATCATGGAATTATCAGTAATTCTGTTAGTGTCTCTGTCCTCCCCATGAAGCTGGAGCATCTAGGCCTGAAAGCAACCCCCACCCTCACCCTCCCAGCCCCAGCGCCATGAGCGAGGCCTGGAACACGGAGACGCTCAGAAATGCTTTCTGGCAGTAAGGGCCAGGTAAACTGGGCAGGTGAGAGCCGATGACATCGTGTCTGTGGGCCCCTGAGATCCTTAGCAGCAACAGGTGGGATCTGCTGGTCAGGGGCCTCTGTTCTGTCTGACTTAAGAGGAAACAAGGGAGGCCAGAGCAGGGGTCCGGCTCCCCCAGGCTGCTCTCTGGCGGGCTGAGGAGAAACTGGCTTATCCTGTTTCCTGTGGGATTGAGGAGATGGTTGAGCCAGAGCTGTGCCCTGTACCTGGGTGGGCCACTGGGGATCTGAGACTGGAATGTGACACCAGGGAGGGGGTAGGGAAGGTGGGCCAGGGGCTAGAAGCA